GCACAACCTTGCGCTAGTCTAATATATATATATATATATATATATATATATATATATATATATATATTCTGGAATTTTTCCTGCGTTTTATCGACGTATGTGGGTCAAGCAACTCAGTTCCCTGGAAGTAGCAGCCAGGCAGAAGAGTCGAATACAAAGGTATTCCTTGCTGCAAGGTCCACAAACGACCCTTCAGGAAGCGACTTATATTTTTGAGACCTGTTGCACTACGTGTCACAAGGTCCCCAAACGACCCTGCGCAGCTTTTTAATTCAGAATTGTCCTTATCCTAGACCAGTTGCTATATAATGCTATAGAATCTAGTGTGTCCTTTTTTACCCATAGGTGGGGGAGAAGAGGAGGTTTTCATAAGTTTCCCTGAAACTCGAATTCGACTCTCCGATTCCTCTATCATCTGCCGCTATCCACTATTTCACCGTGCCTCTTAATATATATATATATATATATATATATATATATATATATATATATCATTAAAGACGACAAACAATGTATTGCGAATAAGTTGATTTTATTTGATTTTTCGAACACAGGTTTTCATTTATGAACACAAAGTGTGTAGAAACTGTCCATGTGGATTAGGTTATTATGTTTGATTAAAGCAAATCCATAAATAATTATATCGGTTATGCTACTACATGCTTATCCAGACGACTTACTTTACAACAATCTGACCACGGCTCCATTAGAACTCAGCTAAACCCGCACACAAACTTATCAGACTGCATCCGATACATGCTAGTAGAACATGCATACATAATAACCTCATCCACATGTAAAAAAGATTAAAAAATAATGTAAGGCTTAATCATAAAAAAGAAAAAATAAACAACAGTAAATAATATTAACTACGAACATGGCCACAATGTACCAATTTGTTCGAAAAATAAAACATCCCTATAACTATAGAAACATACACATAGCCCGTAAACCCAGTTAAAAAGCAAAAATAAAATCATCCTTGTTAATGGCTAAACGTATAGCCGAAAGCGCTCGGAATTACAGAACAATGGGACAGTTTCTACACACTCTGTGTCCTGAAAAAATACAAAGCTTAATAGTAATACCTTGTTGTCATCTTTAATGAAACATAAAATGAAGAATTGCTGCATAAGCACACAATATATATATATATATATATATATATATATATATATATATATATATATATATATATATATAGGCAGCATATCTTTATTTAAGCACGTTTCATTAATAAAATAGAAATATTATGTCTAATCATTTTTATAATGATCCCTTCTACTTCTCTAATTATCTTCCTGACTTTAAGTTGAAATTCATCAAAAAAGAAAAGGCGCCGTTAGCCCAAATATTTTCGATCTCCTCCGAGATCATCCTCGGGGTTGAATTGCAAAGACAAACTTAATCTAACCGTAATAGTTGTGATAATGATAGGGGTAATCACGCGCGAACGCACCCTGTTATGATCACTTTAAAATTAACCGATGCCCTGTAAACAAGCGTTCCCGGTGTAAGGTGTGAAGTAACCAGAGATGGTAAATTGCAAAATGGTAAGGTATGAAATGTTAGTAACTCAATACATTTTAAAATATTGCTACTATATTCCTAATAAGTTTTGTTGGTTCGTTCATGTTGTATTGGTGTTTTCTACAAGTATTTTATTGTATTTTGAAGGTGAACAGCAATATGTCTTTAAATGTCGTGCTATAGAACTTGTATTCGATAAATATATATTTTTGTGAAATGGATTAAATCCGATAAATATTTAATTTAATGGAAATGGATTAAATCCCATATATTTTCAATTTAAATGCTATTGTTGGATATTCATATTCGAATAGAAGCTCTGTTTTTTTTTGTTTGTTTTTTTTTTTTAGTTAAACAGTATTTTTAATTAAATAGTATTTTTATCCGATTACATCTACCGGCCTGAATATTCGAGAAATCTTTTCAGAAATATGTGCGCCTTCCGGCATGGTTCGTACTTGCATCCTCTATGGGGAACCGTCAATGAATCTGACGTGCCTGACCGTTCAGCCACGTAGGACTTCCGGTCAAACAAAGCTTTACGATTGCACAAGATAATGCTTATTTAAATTTCTACCTCAAGAAGGCAAGTCAGACCATCCCCTAATCAGTGTTCAGACTGATGCCAAACCTAAGGCATCCCTTGACATACCGTTCCACAGAACGATTTTTCGCTATGCGAAGGCAGACTGGGACAGCTTTTGATCCGACATAAAGGAAGTTTCCCTCACAAGTTTTTCAACTGCCACTAAAATTACTGCCCTTGATTCTCATCGGATCCTTTCTTGAATGGAGAATTTTATACCCACCAAAAATTCCAGCAAAAACCAAACAGTCAATCCTGGTTTACCCCTGAATACACTGCAGCCATAACTCACCGAAATTTTTACCTCAATATCTATCGCATGGAGTGATGAAGTTCGACCCTCACTGCATTCAAAACTGCAAGCAATTTCTATAAAACTCCAAGCGCTGCTATGCACGACCGGTCGAGACCAAGGTGGATAAGAAACAAACTGGATCTCGTGAATTCTGGAAGATCACCAACCAAATCATGAAGTAAAGCGGCTGTGTCCACAATTATAAATATCTTCTCGACAGATAAGCTGAAACTCTTTGCCTTCATCTATACTTCAATTTCCCACGTTTTACCGAGCACAATCTCAGTAATATAACCATCATAGTAAGAAAAGTCTCTTATCAAACGTATTGAGCCTAACAAAGCCACTGACCCAGAAAAAATTCCAGTGGTTGTCCTTAGAAACATCAACCTGGAATAATCCCCGTACCTAGAAAAGTTATTCTACTATTGTGGAAAAGGCCTTGGAAAGTGTCAAACGTATGCCTTGGTTTCAAATGAATCAGCAATATTATCAGCAAGCTTTTTGAGGCCATAATCAATAATTGAGTCACTGAGAACTTCTTCAACAGTATGAGTTTTAAGTCATACCGACGTCTTACTACTACTCACAGAAAAAGTGAGGCTCTTAACGACAGACGCATCTCGAGGATCATAGCACTTTGATAACTCAAAAACATTCAGCAAGGTGTGGCAAAAAGGCTTACTAGAGAAGCTATCCAATTATGGAATCCACTGGAAGCGTCTTTTCGATCATAAAACACGGAGGTCCATGAAGGTAGTTATTAGTTATCTATGGCCAGTCTTCAGGGTCCCTAGAAGTCTACGCAGGCGTCGCCTAACGAACGCTTTTCAGACCAAACTTCTTTTTGATAAATAAATGATCTACATAAATGATCTGCCTAAGAATATATTCGAATCATTTGTAAACATCTATGCTGATGTTACGACTATATCCAAGCGAACCTGTGAAAATCTCGGTGGTCAGAGATTGGAGACTGATATCTATTCCGGTGTTGCACAAACTGTCCAATGGGTTAAAAACTGGCGAGTTACATTCGAAGACCAAGTTTTATCTCGGACTACCACTAGTCAGGATTAACGGAGTTCCTCTCGTGGTAGCACCGTGCCTTGAAACACTGTTGGGCCTAAAAATCACGCCCGACCTGAAATAGAAATTGCACATACGACCAATTGCTAAGGATACAAATAAAATGGCAGATTCTCTGTACCGCACCAGTAAGTACCTAACACCTTCAGCTCTTTCTGCCTCGCGCAGTTCTACCGTTACTTCCACAGAAATTGCTCTATTTTCTGGCCCCGCCAAGTCAAACCTCCATGACAAGAATATACCATGCCACTTACATAGTAGCAAACCACACACATTCCCCTCCACCGTATTCCATCGGTCAGAAGTAAGTTCTACTCGGGCAGCTTCTTCCCACATACCACTGGAACCGGCTCCCAATTGGTTGTTCTACCGATTGCTACTGATCAAGGCTAGCGTTACGCGTCATGTTCTACTGCTATACACACAAATAACCCCCAGATGTAACCCTCTAACACGAGTGTCCTAAGGGATTTGTAAAGGGTTAAACTATATATATCGAAATACATTTGTTGCTTACAAGTTTTCTATAATAGTCAATGATGACTTCTGTTCCAGTTTATCATGTCATGAAAAAAAAGTAACTTCCCTATCACCACCCTCTGAGTTTAATTTTCTATTTAGTGTAGATCTGACATTTAATTGGTTGATCATGTCTATTTTTTTTAATTCTGACCATGTGTTTTCTTCTGCCAGCTTTATATTTCGGAAAAAAAGGGAAACTTTTATTTTGATATTTAAAAAAAAATATTTAATAACCAGTCACTTACTATTCGCTTAAAAGAGGTACAACGTAGTTTCGAAACACAAAAGTTATTGTGATCGATATAAACATGTTTTTGTTCCAAGATCTAAAATTATATATATATAATGATACCTAAAACACCATATATCCCAAACCTGTTAGGTAATTAAATGACCAAGCTGAAAAATCGGTGTAACGCTTTGTAGTTGCTTTCGAAGAGAAAAAGCGTTACATCGATTTTTCAGCCTGGTCATTTAATTACCTAACAGGTTTGGGATATATGGGGTTTTACTTTTCTTACTGATGGTATTATATATATATATATATATATATATATATATATATGTAGACGGAATGCAGATAAAAAACGTAAATCTGAATTATATTTATGCACAGCGAAGAAGCGCTAAAATTGCGCGAATGGTAAATTTCGGATTTTGAACTTGAATATTTTAATTCAAATATTTCTTTTATTTTTATACCCGCGCGTGCGCACACACACACGCAGGCGCACAAACACATACAGAGACTTACACATATGTATATATATATATATATATATATATATATATATATATATACAATGAGCATTTTTGTGCAAACAGAAAGGGAAATTTATTTGTTCTCTTTCTTTAGTGGTAGACTTGTGAGCCTATATTTTCCCTTGTTATACTCACTGGAATTATTTACTCTGGTTTTTGACATTTTCTCTTTTATTTTTTCATATTTGTTTTCTTCTTTTTCCGCCGCGATTTTTATTAACATTTTGCTTGTCGCCACCGACTCTTTTGATGAGGTGTTGGCCAAAAACAGAAATAGATAGATAGATAGATAGATCGATAGATAATCAACAGACTGAGATAGATATCAACAGACATAGATAGATAGATAGATAGATAGATAGATAGATAGATAGATAGATAGATAGATATGAGCAGACTGAGATAGATATGAACAGACTGAGATAGAAATGAACGGATAGATAGATAGATAGATAAATAGATAGATAGATAGATAGATAGATAGATAGATAGATAGATAGATAGATATGAGCAAACTGAGATAGATATGAACAGACTGATAGATAGATATATATATATATATATATATATATAGATAGATAGATAGATAGATAGATAGATAGATAGATATGAGCAAACTGAGATAGATATGAACAGACTGATAGATAGATAGATACAACTGGATATCTGAGAGAAAATTCCGAGAATTTAACGTATTTATAATGATCGGCTACATTCTTTTTCCCAGCACACCCGTCTGCAGGGCAGATTTGTGCTTGCTCAGCACCCACAGAGCCCACCAGTGTGTTTACTGAAACTATGCTGAGTGGAAGAGTTTCTTTTGGGAGGATATAATCTGTCATGATCAGCTGTTTCAACAACGCTGATACTCTCAAATCCTCGGTCACGATGACTTTTGACAGGTCAATCAATTACGGATTCCGAATGTCTATCCAAATTCCACTCCCAGACTGTGCTATAGTTTTACGGCGCTACCCAAACGCACCGCACGCTGAGGTCGCTTCCCCAGACCGAAAGCGTCAAGAAATCACCTTCCTGACAAATCGAGCGCGATGAGATTCAAACCCGGTGTCGCATGGTTGGATGGCGACGGTTCTAAATATCCTTCTCATTTCATGCCTCTCTATCTATCTATCTATCTATCTATCTATCTATCCCAAACTCTATCTATCTATCTATCTATCTATCTATCTATCTATCTATCTATCTATCTATCTATCTATCTATCTATGCCAAAATCTATCCGAAATTCTATCGCTGTCTCATGGTTGGAAAGCGACGGTTCTAAATATCCTTCTCACTTCATGCCTCTCTATCTATCCATTTCTGTAAATATCTATCTATCTATCTATCTATCTATCTAGTGATCGATTGTCCTATTCTTTACATATCTAACTATATATTTTTTCAAAATTCTGTGTTTACCTGCATGTTCTATTTTATGATCACTAAATAATGGTACCTAGACCTAGTGTAATATTTAGTAATCCCGATGGCTTTATTGGGAGATTCACTAATGTGCAATTATGATTAAACCATGCATAGTAAGTAGCTATAAACTTATTAAATCGATAATGTAGATAAAATCTATAAATTATTTTGTGATTATCATTATACGCCGCATTATCTTTTTCCCATTATTTTCGAAAGTTAATGAAAGGATTCAATATCATTTCACCTAATTTTCAGGATATTTTATTGAATATGTCTACTGTTTAGTAGACAATATATTAAAATGGGATAAACTGCAATAAACTGGATTTCCAAGATTCATATTATAATATTGTTTACTGGAACTTTGAGAAATGATATGTCTTAATTAGTGAAAGTGTAAAATGACAATGATTTGAAACATTGCAATTTTAAAGCTAGCAACATGACAGATGTACGTTCTGTTTTGTGAACCTTATTTTGCAAGTTGTTCGTTTATTTGTAATCTGAACTCTGTTATTTTGTCCTATGAAACACACGACATAACAGACATTATTGTCATTCCAAAGTTCATCTAAGCTATTAAATAAAAGTCGGTTTGATTCCTAGTTTTCAGAATACTCCAAATTTGGTTAATTTCGGGTGAACATATAAAAGGAATGTCTTCAACAGCCATTTTATCCGAATAACAATCAACGTTCTTCATTGAATAAGACTATTCAAGAGTAATTTTGCGCATAAATCAATTTCGTTCTCAGGCTTTCCTTTTAAATTAACTCCATATATAAGTCATAATATAAAAGTATGTCTGAACTGTCATATTGACAATATTTAGAGTAACACCATTACAACAAAAATCATCGTACCTCAAAATATCTCACCACATTCGCTGTGATGACAACTTAAAATGTGGGATGGAAACCGACAGCTACCACCAAAACATTGCCCTCGTCGTCTGGCGCATCGAAGCTACCAAGGCATTCGCTCGTGAAAAGAATAAGTGCTAAAACTGTTTCATATATTTTTTAGGTATTTACTTTTCTTTTTAAGAACGTTTAGGGATATATTGACATTGGAATCAGAAGCGATATATATATATATATATATATATATATATATATATATATATATATATATATATATATATATATATAAAGAAAAGAACAGTAAGATATATAATCCGGTGTTCTTATAGATATTTTTATTTTTACAAAATAGGGCTCAATGTAAATTTACAGAGCATTAATATTATATATTAATTGATTTGAAATATGTTTTTTTTTTT